CCCCGCCGATCAGCTGGCCGAAAATGGGGGCTTTGCGATGATCGCTTCCCTGCGATCATTGCAAGGCCCCCATTTTCGCACAGCTGATCGGCAGTTCCAAAATGGCAGCCATTATTTTGTCTCGCTTTAGAGGCACCCAAAATGGCCACCGCTATGGAGGAATTTCGCTTAAGGTTAGTTTCTAAGCCCATAGGAACGTATTAAACGCGTTTTAATACATTCCTATGAGCTTTTTTTAATCGCTTAGCGATTAAATCGCTTAGCGATTAAATCACTTAGCGACGTTTTTCCTGGAACAGATTAACGTTGCTAAGTGAGGCACCACTGTATTTTCTCAACAAAAACTTTGAGGAGCAGACTAACTGTTCATGAAAGGGGGCAGATTTCTAATACCTTGTATAATATTCAGAGATGAAGCTTAACTGGCAGTTTGGTGTGCTTTGCGAGTGGGTTTGGTTCCTTTAGAAATGTGACTGGGGAAAAATAGTTTTAAGCTTTGTTGTTGGTGGTGGTGATTGTTTGCTTTGTTAGTATGATGGCTTTGAAAAAATTCTCTTCATTGAAAGGGTGCTATAAAAATAAGCTTCCCCAAAAAATGTTTCCTAACATTTTTGTATATTTGTTACTTTTTTAAAAAGCAAGGAAATTCCCAGAAGAGGAAAAAGTATTTAATTCAAAGCAAAACTCTGCTCATGACCCAGGTTTAATCCCAGGTAGCTGGCTCTAGGTTCACTCAGCCTTCCAGCCTTCTGAAGTCGATAAATTTAGTACGCATCTTGTTCTGGGAGCAGTGCATAGCCTACATAATTAAATTGTAAACCACCTAGTACGCATCTTGTTTTGGGAGCAGTGCATAGCCTGCATAATTAAATTGTAAACCACCCAGAGAGTGTTTTAAGCCCTATGGAATGGTATGTAAGAAGCACCCCCCCCTTTTTTTATGGCTGAGTGGAAATTTGAACCTCAGCCTTCTCATTCCTAGTTCAGTATTCTAACGGCAACATTATATTAGCCGTTACCACTCTGCTAGACATGGTAAGGCAGTCCTAATGCAAGTATATAGGCTCAAAAACATAAAATCCCTCATAACATTTTTCTTGTGGAATGGCTAGGTTTTGGAGGTTTTGCTATGGTATAGCTGATTGCATAGTTAATGTGCCAGATGCTGAGCAATGGCTGGGTTTGCAAGAATGTAAGCAGTTTCTTTTCTCAGTTTATAGGAAGTGTGATTTTTTTTTTTTTGGATTTTTGAACATTTCTATATCACTAAACAAGAAGCTTCTCTGTGCAGCAGGATATGCTTTCTGTTTCACACCTTCTCAGAATTGTCCATGTGATTCATCCTCCTGCTCTCCCCATCATTTAATATTGGGCACATTGGCAAGCAGCACCGGAGAAGCCTCAGAGAACAGAGCTTGCCGTGTTTCTTCCAGACTGTTCAGTTATGTGGCAGTTGCTATTGTTGAACTGGGGGATTGCCTTCTGAATGATATACATAGGAACAGATTATCAAAAATGTTTGCCGTTAGCTGAAGATACTAAAGGAAATACTTGAGGCAGGGGATTGTGTGGTGAAATAACTACAGTTATGTAGGCATAACAAAGTTACTGAATGTAGTTTCTCTCAAATGTGTGTGCATGTATTTAAAATTGGATTGCTGAATTATAGTGAAATGATAACATTTATTACTTATTTACACTGGATGCCTGCAGTGTGTGTGTGTGTGTTTTACCAAGTAATCACTGCAGCTAATTCCCATATGATTATAGTTCTTTTACCAAGTAATCACTACAGCTAATTCCCATATGATTATAGTTCTTTCTCTGTTTCTCTCTTCTTTAAATCTTGCTAAGCAGACTATGGAATAATTAGTTAACAGCACTGCCTACTGAACATAGTGTTTTGAGTATCAAACCAAAACTTAATACGTAAAGACCTAGACAGAAGGGAGGGAATTGATCGTTCAGCTGGATAATCGCTTGGATGAACATGACACCTAGAGAATTCCTGAATATTCAGGGTGGAGGTTGTAAGAGGTGTACTCCTAGCATCTTCTCAGGCAGCTGCCCTGACTGTCTCTATGATGGTAGAACAGAATACCTGTGGATATTTTCAGATTAGCCAGTTAAATCGAACAATAATGGAAATATAGTGTCAAGTCTGATACATTTTTAACCCGACTCAGCCAAATCATCAAGATATGTACTCCATATATAATTTTAAACAAATATATATATTTGTCATTTCCTGTGGCCCTTGAAATCCTCCTTCATTTTCTATCTCTACTATAGATCCCCTCTTGAGAATGCAGAACCTCGAATTCGTGCCCAGGGCATCCAAATGCTCTCTGATGTTCTCCTGCAGTGTTACTCTTTACTCCAAGAGCAGGAAGGTAGGACATAACAGTATTCCAATACTGCACTGGATCCTCATTCTTTGCAAGGAGCTCGATTTAGTCTCCAGAGGATGATGCTCAGTTCTCTGATCAGTACTGGGGAAAGCATTCATTTAGCTGGTAGTCTTTGATGAGCAATAAACATTCTTGATGAATAACTGGGTTGTAACTGAAATCCAGAACTTGTTTTCACAGTGGAGATAGCAACTTGCTGCCCACCAATGATTTTGGATTACAGCTCCTAGACTCTTTTACAATTGGCTGTGTTGACAGGGAATTATGGCTTCCTTGGGAAGTGTTTCAGCTTGCCCCATAGCAATTTTGAGGTATCTAAAGACATCAAGATAAACTGTGCTTCTGCACACTATGGTATGTGTGGCAAATAGTAATTTTCTTCATTTGGAAGCTGTCAGAGCAGTAATCTTTGCTATTGTAGTAGAAGGAAATGCATAAAATAGTGATGATAGCACTCCTGTGACACTTGTTTTGCCACAGCAATATTTATAAAGGGAGCAAAGGAAGTAGAAGGCTGGGTTGAATTTTATTACTCTCATGCCTGTCTTAAGTTTCACATAGATGTGCATAAACTAGCTTTAATCCCACAGTCTTTCATCTATACTGTTCCTGACGGTGCTGGTCACTGAGTGCTCTCCCAGCTCTGTTTCCTTCTGTGGCATCCCAGATCAGCACATTTATTGTTAACTACTCCCATATTGGCAGTTTTAAGAAATTATCAGTAGAAGCTCTGTGATCTGTGAATCTGCACTAATGAATGTGCTATGAAATGGGAGATCTTAAATGTTTAGTTACCTTGGCAATTTGCCTTCTGTGATATTATATTATTATTCGTTTCTTCGTGATGGCAAGCAATGTATATATGCATTTAGGCAACCATTTGTCCTCCAAAAACTTTTTGAATTGCATGTGAGAATGAACAAGGATGCAGAAGGATAGCCTTTCTGAACACCCTGTAAATGGGTTTGTGTTGTCCAGCATCTCTTCAGATGTTCTGAGGGTGATGATAATGGCAGTTTGTCTTAAGCAGATCATTGTCTGTGGCATATATGCTAGCTGACTATCATAACGTCTTGTCTTGACAATGCTTGTCTGTTCCAGTGACCCATCTTGTCTTGTTCTATGAAAACCGACTGAAAGATCATCACCTTGTCATTCCTTGTGTTCTGCAAGGACTGAAAGCTCTGGTGAGAATTTGTCTGCAAATCCTTCTTCACAGTTCTACTATCCATGTGCTCATTGGGAGGGAATAGGGTACCATAAGGACAGCAGCACTGGGGCTCTGCCCCATTCACTGAATCTAGCAAAAGCAACTGCAATAGAAGCAGATTAGGATAATCGGGGCTGGAGTAGAAGCAACCTTTTTAGAATCTTCTTGGGTCAGATTCCATGGTGCCTATTTGCTTCTTTTTTCAAGGTTGGGTCAGTGTACCATTGCTGATTTACAGTGTTAATCTTCTTTATTTACATGGCAATGAACATTGAGTTCTATCCATATGATTTACAAGATGTTCAGTCATTGTTACCTCTCCCTTTTACATAAAGAACAAGCTGTGGCCCTAAGCATATTGCTAGGGGCTGCTCCAGGCAGCCATCCCTTAATAAAGGTGGACAAAACGGAGTAACCATAGTTTTCTTGTCTCTAGAGTATGTGTGGGGTATTGGCTCCAGGTCTGGCAGTGTCTGTCCTCAAAGCCATCTTCCAGGAGATTCATGTCCAGGTGAGAGAGGGAAGAGTCAAGACTCGCTCATTTGGTCTTTGCATTCTACACACATGCTTCAGCTTTCCTGTCCACATCAATATTACCTAGACGGTCACACTGTAGTCTATTATGATGAACAGGAGGTACATACATTTCTTGGTTAGGACAAGATAATCCATATTCTTTTGATATCAAGAAAATCAAGGCAAAAGATCATGTACTGGCTCTTTCAGAAATTCTGAGCATGATCTTGTATGGCCTCCGAAAACAAAAACATTGGGAAATCTGCCACAACTATGGAGATCCTTACTTAAAGTTTTAACTATTGTGGGCTATTTCCCTGCTCTGTATTCTTTAACAATATTAGGCAAGGAATAATGATCTCTTTTGCGTACATATAATGTGGCTTTATTTCCTAGCTCTGCTTCTCTATCTTCTAGTCTTTGCTGCAATTGGATCGGCATACTGTGTACAGCATCATCATGAACTTCATGAGCAACCGAGAGACAGGTGAGATGGACAAATATAGAAGAGGCTGAGTCAGACATCCTGCTGGAAAACTGTAGGAATTTACTGATCAGCTTCTTTCTCCCACAGAGCTGAAGAGCCTGGGTGCTGATTTCACCTTTGGCTTCATCCAAGTGATGGATGGGGAGAAGGACCCACGCAACCTGCTGATAGCCTTTCAGATAGTACAAGACATAATTGTAAAGGGCTATGCACTAGGTAAGTCCAAATGCTTGTCAGGCTGACCATTTAAAAGAGAGCCCATGTTGGTTGGTTGGTTGGTTGGTTAGTTGGTTTTCTTTCCATGTGAAGTACATATGAGGAGACATGCTGGTGAAACAGGCCTTGAGCATGGTAGCCCTGTTGAGTTTAGCTTGGGAATTATTAAACCAGAACTAATTTCCACATATTTTTGACATTTCTCAACAGTAGCATTAACTTGACTCTAAAAAGTAGGCCAGGTCAAAGAGCTTTTGGACCTCTGCTCTCTTATTTTGTATTAGCCTAAGTTTGTGCCTAGCTCTGTTGTCCATCCGGTAGAGTCACACTGATATCCTCAACCTTCCAGGACCCTTTACAGAGGAGCTGTTTGAAGTTACTTCCTGCTACTTCCCCATCGATTTTACCCCTGTGAGTAAATCTAGTGATGTATTGTTTATTTTCTACTCTAAAAGCAGTGTCCATGCTTAAATATGAGTGCCAGAACAGGACTGTTCATGTATGCTGCCTCGGATTTAGGGTGCCTATAAGAACATGAGTTTATTCATTTTATCAGTTGTTCTGAAACAGTGGGGTTCTTATACATAAGGTTTTCATTCTCTGATTCTGTTGCAGCCTCCCAATGATCCCCATGGAATTCAGAGAGGAGATCTGATTGTCAGCCTGCGGGCAGTGCTGACCTCCACCCCTGCTTTTGCTGAGGTAGGATCAGTGACTGGCTCATACCAGTCCTATACTGTAGATTTCTTGGTTTTATGTTCTATTTTCGCTGGGGTGCACTGAACTGATCAGTCTTTGATGGACAACCTGTTGAATACTGAGGAACCATGATGTAGTTATTTAGAAATATTTTCAGGATCATAGCAGACATAATTGTGGTCTATGAATGCATTTCTCATATTGTCAATATAATTCCCCTCAACTTTGAGACTTAAGAAACTAGGTTCCTTAAATAGATTAGATATGGGTTGGATGAATGTGGGGAACTGGCTTTGTTAACATGCCTTGTTTCTAGTTCTTTTCTGTCTCCTACCCACTGGTTTTTCAGATTGTTATTATTCAGACCTTGGGTTCTTCTCAGCAGAGAGTGCAGTATATAAATATTTTAAACATAGATCTGATTTTTATTACAAAAATGGATTAATGAGATTTTTAAATTCTGTACATACTCTGTTCATATTCTGTACACACACCTAGGTTTGTGGGTGCATTATACTGTTCTTGGATTTAAGTTGGGAAGTTATGGATTTCCCATATTCTGTGGGCTTATTTATAATGTTGTTGTTGAGGGGGGTGGTCTGATCTTGTTCTCTGGGATATATTCTACATCTAAAAATATACAGAGGTTTCCAGCACTTTTCTCCCCCTCCAACAGTTCCTGCTCCCCTTGCTCATAGAGAAAATGGACTCTGACGTACAAAGTGCCAAGTTGGACTCCTTGCAGACCCTGGTAAGATCACGGAGCAAAGATAGTCTGTGCCCCTAATGGGAGGCTGAAGTGTCATGCAATCCTGTGTGCCATTTCAGTTTTCCCCCACCCCTAGGTAGGCATTTATGTCACCCCATGCTCCATCCCCCACCCCTGCACTAGGTTGTGATTAATTTTCATTATGATGCAGGGAACGGTGGCTGTGCCAGGCAAATGCAGCAGAAATTCCCCCCTCCTTTGTTGATTACTTTGTGCCTTTTTTTTTGACAGAGTGCTGCCTGTGCAATCTATGGAGAGAAAGAGCTGAAGGAATTCATACCTAGCCTTTGGTCATCCTTACGTAGAGAGGTGAGAATAAATGTGCACAAAGTAGGATGTTTTGGGTTTCTTAGGAAGGTGCACTCAATCTCTGTGCCCACTTTGTTGACCTGGGACCTGGTTTGAAATCCTCTCCAAATGTTGCACATTCCTATGATGAAATGCTGCTGGTGTAATGTTTGAAAAAGTTGTTAAAGTAGAGAGGGGAGGATTTTGATTGCTGCTTGTGAACTTGCTGAAACATTGGCTCAATTTTGAAGTAGCTAATTAGGTAAGACCAAGTTTGTCTGCACAGTACAGTAGATAAATCTTCTACTCTGCTACAGGTATTTCAGACAGCGAGTGAGAAAATTGAAGCAGAAGGTCTGTCTGCTTTGCGTGCCCTGTCAACATGTTTGTCCCGCTTGGTGCTCAGTTCAGATGATGAGGATCTTCTAGATTCCTTTCTTAGAGATGTCTTGCAAGGTAACCCATGGAGCAGCATGCATTTTCAGGTGGTTTCTCAGTCCTGTGAAAGACATACAATTCCTCCTTCATGATGTGCTCTTTGGAAGAAGTGATTGCTTCTCAGGGGAAAGAGCTCATTTTGCTGTTGCAGCCATAAATTGGCTTGCGATACAGGAGGAAGAGAGGAAAGCTGCTTGGAGCACATGGGGCAGAAAGAACAGAGAGCAAGTTGGTCACGATACTTTGAACCTGTTTACAGCCAGTATCCAGGTAGAATAAAGTATGTAGTTTCTTGCTGCTAACCTAGCAGGAGCTTGCTGTTTTTCCCAAGTAATTTTGTCTCTTTTAGATTGCAGACACCATTTGTGTGAGCCTGACATGAAGCTCGTGTGGCCAAGTGCCAAGCTCTTGCAGGCAGCTGCTGCGGGCTCGTTGCGGGCCTATTACCAGATCACTAGCAGTGTAATTCCCTTGCTGGTAGAAGAGTATGCCAAACATGTGCAGGTGAGGACAGATGGATATGGACCCAACTTACGCTGAAGAGAAGTAATAGTAGTGGCGGGCACTGCCATTATATTTGAGCAAGTTCAGTGGGGAATCTTCAACACCTGCCTCAGAAATATCCTTAGGCTGAAAATCCCCCATAGAGTGATGACCTGCTGTGTTTTAATATATGCGGTTTTCCCCTCCAATCCATCCTGTGTGCTTTTGGTCTCTTGTAGAGTAGCCAGCACAGGACAATCTTGGAGGTGCTGCTTGGTTTCTTGGAGCTGCGACAAAAATGGGGTCCTGGAGAGGAAGGTGAGGTGGTTTGAAATGAATGGAAATCTGTGGAAATTCAGTAGTTCTTGTCTTGCAGGGTGGGAAAGAGCGAGTGTAGCCAAGAACAGGGAAGAAAGAAATTAAAAAGGACAGTTCTGACAGGGCTGTTGCCCTCCCCACCCCCATTTTTCTATCTCGTGGTTGTTGTGATCTCTCTTAGCTAAGTGCATACTGGCAGCATCAGAAAGTTTTGAAACTAAATATTCTTTGGGCATGGTTTTAGTAATACAGAGGCAGGCCTTTTTCAGACAGAAAGCCACATTCCCTCATAGGTGTACATTACAGCAGTGGACATCCATCTAAAGGTAAAGATTCCCCTTGACAATTAAGTAAAGCCACATTCCCTCATAGGTGTACATTCCAGCAGTGGACATCCATCTAAAGGTAAAGGTTCCCCTTGACAATTAAGTCAAGTTGCGTCCAACTCTAGGGGCCAGCGCTCATCCCCGTTTGTAAGCCAAATAGCCAGCATTTGTCCATAGACACTTTCTGTGGTCATGAGGCTGGCATGAGTAGACACGGAACACTGTGGATATTCATCTACTCACACCCTATTCACACTCATCTAGTTTAATCCTCCCCCTGCTTTAATTTAATCCTCCCCCTGCTTTGTAATTAGGCATAGAGAAAGGGTCCCCTTTGCAGTACGTTTGTTCTAAGACTAATGAAATTTGGGGGCAAAGCTCAAGATTATATAAACTGTATGTTCCCTATTGCTTCAGTAATAACAATTTGTCAAAATTTGGGGGTGACAGAATTACTCTTTTTAAGTGATTTTGAAAAGATATTGTTCAATTCTAAGAATCCAGTTTCCTCATCCACGTCCTGTTAGTTACCATTCATGATTTTAGAAGTTTTTATTTCCTCATAACTTGCTTTTCCCCACAATCCTCTCAGACCCCTGATTAGAAATGGATGCATCCTTGCTGAGAGTCTTGTAATGCCTTGCCTTTAACGCCCAGGACCATCTCACCGCATGTGTTTCTCTGTTGTAGAGAAAAGTCCACTACTTTCCTCCAAAGCTTCTCTGTGTTCGATGGTGTTCTCTGCACTTACTGAGTCCAATGTGCAACTGCAGTTGGTTGGGATCCAGGTGCTGACTTTTCTAGGATCACTGCAAGGTATGTAGTACTGTGGACAGTAAGTAGCATTTTTTGAACAAAAGAAGAATTTTGTCCAGGTAGATGCATTTCTTGTGTATTAATGTGAATGTGAATGTATCCTTCCAGTGTGAAAGCTTGGATGTTACTTTATGTGTGTGCAGCCTTGAAGTGAATTCGAGGCTGCTCCACCTTATTTTCATTAAGCTCAGGTTTTATGGGGTTTAAATTTACTTAAGGAAGTAGAGTGTAAAATATTCAAATTGTTACTGGAATTGTGATCTAGACAAAGACTTGACATCTTTTCTGTTTCAGGGCTTCTGGCTCCACCAGATGTGGAGATGCTTGTGGAGCATCTTGCAAAGTTTATCTTGAATGAAGAGGATTCCCAGACCAGGTGAAGAATGGGCACAAAGCCTCTTTTAAGGCAGGAGAAACAGCAGACATTTTTGAGCTTTCCAGAATTGCCTTAGGGTTAATTCCTTTCATAATACTGGCCATTTCTGCATTCTCTCAGTTCCTTGCCTACAGGCAAAGGCGTCTCCCATTTATTTCTGAGTTCATTAACCCCTTATGGATTAATTCAGAATTTAAGTAATTTGATTCTAATTTGAGATTTCCTTACTCTGGTCTGCTAAAATTCATATTCATATTAAGTGTCTTTTTGATATGCCATATTTTAGATCAATGTGTACATTCAAGCTTTAAATTTTATTTCCTAGTAAGATGACCTTTGTTCTTTTCATATTCGGCCCTAATTTATGTATGATGCTCTTATTGCTATTTTATGGCAAATTAACACAGATTTGTTAGAGCTTTGAACAGTAGCGTGGCTAGTTTTCCATAAAACATAAGCCATATTCCTTGCAGGATCCTTCATCTTTAATGCCATGCTTTCTAATGATGTGCTTTAAATTCTTTTTTCATTGTTGTTAATTTTTATTATGGAGATTTGTTATTCCTCCTCAATGTTGTTAAGTTTTTTACTGTTACATCTTTTTTCTAACATAAAGCTCTTATTCATCATGCCATGCATGTTTATTTGTGAGTCACATGTCTCCTGTATGAATAGTTGAGTTTCTTGAGCAACGTGAGCAGTCCACCCTCTTCTAACATGTTAGATGAATCCTGCTGGAGTGAGTTTAGCAATGCCCGGATAACCAGTTTCACTACCTATAATGTGCTTTTGATCAAAGTGTGCTTTCAGTAAAGTGAATTTTTTATAAAATCTGGTGTTCACATGACATAATAATGCTTCACAACTCAGATAATCACTGAAAGATCAGCAGGCCTGATGCTATTACTGATTAACTAGCTTTAGTCTTATATGTGCTCTCTCTTTTATCCTTGTAGCTTGGCAGCTATGAAGGCAGCTGGCACCTTGTCTCCTGTCTATCCAGACGCCTTCAGCAGATACTTGGTTCAGAAGCTTTCAGAAGGGCTACAGTCAGGTATAATATGCAAATATGCAAGTAGACCTCTCCCATGTTAACTTACTAAGTACTTGTGCAGGCATGCAGAGTGGCTGTTCCCAGGCTTGTTGCAGGTCTTAGCTGCACTTTAAACAGAGTTATAATCTAAGGGACTGCCTGTTGGGCTATGAATATGCTTGGGCATTAAGTTCCTTAGGACAAGGCCCTCTTGACAATATTGATACCTGCAGAGACCTGCTTAGCAGGTTCACAGGACAAGACTCCTGCCAATCTGATTCCCAGTCTGTGGATCATTTTACCACTCCTGCTTTCGGTAAGGATGTGAAGGAATGTTTTTTAAAACTGGCTGATTAAATGAATATTTGTTGGGAGAATATTAAACTGGTTTTATGTTGAGCTGACCTTATTTTTTTTATAGTTTTATGCAATATCTCTACTACTTTTATTCTCATATGACATGTGTAAACTTTCTTGAGCAATACTCTTTAACGGAAAGGTGGGAAGAAATATAATAAATAAATCAAAGAATAATGGCTTAATAGTTAAATTAAATAATTAAATAAATAAATAGAGGAGCCTATGACCTCCTTCTGTAGTGTTTCTGTGGCCAGTGAGTATGGTCAGTTGGTTCCAAAGACTAGGGCTAATCTTTCTTGGATCAATGTTTTGGACCTAGAGTGGTGTCTCTTGGGCTTGTCCTTTTGGACAAACTCCCTGTCTAGCTGTAATGTCGTCTATTCTAGAACTTCAGGAGGAGAGCGATCCAACGCAGCGGGAACGTTGCCTGCAGGCTTTGGCAGCAGTGTCTACTCATCCAAGTATAATGAGGGAAACTGTTCCAGTCCTCCTGCAATGCCTCCAGCAAGTTCAGAAAGGTAGCATCAACAGTTGTATGTGACAAACTACTGAAATTTGGGGTTGGTATGAGGAGAAACCTGCCCACTGCTTGGCTCAGCATTGGGGAGCTGTGTTCAAGTGAGAGTAATGAGGTTAGGATGTAGAAATCTCTCTCTCTTTCTCTCTCTCTAGATCCTAGAGAGGTTTGGATTTTTTAATATTGAAGCCCAGCTCCTTAAATATGTGAATGGCAGAATATGCATGACTTGGAAAGTTTGGGATGAATGCTATCTGATATCACAATCTATTGCTGGCACAGAGTGAGGACCATGGAGATTATGGTTATATTAAGAGAGTGTTATCTTAGCTTGATAATAAGCTGAGACAGAAATACGCGTTAAAGTTGTACATGCAGCTATTATACTCCTCAGTAAGGAGGAGCTGCTAAATAAATCAAGACGTTTTTTCAAGCCAAGAAATATAGTTCACTCTTTTATTCAAACCAGAAAATGGTTAACTACTTTAGAACAAAGTATTAAACTGTGGGTTAATATTTTGGCTTGTTTCTAAGCCATTAATTATAGTTTTCCAGTTTTAGTGAAACAGGAAACCATGATTAATGGAAGACTTTTCTGGTTGCTTGCTTGCTTGTGTAGAGAGGAACAAAGTGGCTATGCACTTATTTGGATATCACATTTACATCTTATTAAAGCTGAAATGTGGTTATCCAAACACAGAGCCAAAGTATTCATGTTTTTTTCAATTAGCTGGGGACTGCTGGTCCCTATCCAGCAAGATTTTTAAATGCTCTGGGTTGTTAGGTTTTAAAACTAATCTTTTTTTTTCCAGGCAAAATGCCAGCAAGTATCCAGTTTGTTGTGTCTGTGTGCCAGAGTCTACAGCAGGTGGCATTGCAGTGCCATCGAGATACTCAGAGCTATTGGTACTTTCACCAAGCTGTGGTGCCCTGCTTATTGGGTTTAGCAGTGCAAGATGCTATGCAAGGTAAGGCCTGGAGATGGGCAGAGACCTGTTTTTCCCTTAGTTAGGCCAGTGCCTATAGCTATAGCAAGACTCACCTTGCCTTCTGTAGCATGGGTATAGCTTTTGTCTTTGTACTTTAGAGCTGTGAGTCAAAGGGCAGGGAACTATCAGGGATTTGGTCAATTCTGTCCTTTCCCATACTCTTGGTTGGTCCTTAACTTTTCAGTTTGTAAATACTTTACCCACTCAGAGCCATTTGGCACCGGTTTGACTCTGTCAGATTATACAAGTGGGAGACAAAGACACACTTTAGGAAAAGTGATGAGATCTGGATGACAACCCCCATCCCCTTTCACTCTCCCCTTTCTTATGACTTTCAGAGAACTCACATACCGTGTTAAGCAAAGTGCTGCTGAAGGAGGAAGCCTTATCAGCCATGGTACCTGTCATCAGTGCTGCTTGTATGCACTTAAGCCCAGAGTGAGTAACAACTGCTGTAAATGACTCTGTTAATAGACCTGCTATTAACTTTCTATGGCTTGGAATAAGCTCTAGTTCCTGCCTAGCTTTTAGCACTCTTTGGTGAGGGCAGGGTCCATCAGTCTCTTTTATGTTCCTTGGAGCTTCTTAATTGTGTTCAGAAGCAGTGTCTCTGTTACTACTTCCTTGTTTCTTCATGGCAGGCTGGCTGCTCAGAGTGTCTCCAAAATGGTCCCCCTGTTCTTAGATGGAGAGCTATCCTTTCTGCCTGGAAACAGTTTCCCCAGCATTTTCCATCCTTTCCAGGTATCTTGGATGATGAGTCGGGGGCTCTTGCTGCATATGGGGAAGCAGGAAGAGCATAGGCCAAGGTTTCAGGATGGCTTCAGTAATGAAAACTGTGTCTCCTCCACAGGATGGGCAATGTCCAGTGGCAGCCCAGAGAAGGCTTGTTGCTCTCCTCATGGCCTTTGTCTGCTCACTGCCAAAAAACGTGAGTTCTGGGAGAGGGTGGGGCAAGAGTGGGGAAGGCAGCATGGCTGAGAAAGTGGATCTGATGCCTAGGCAGGTCATGCTGTTGGGGAGCCAAAGGTGAAGTGTAAGGTTTGCAACGATCTCTGTGCCTCATAAGCTCTTATTTCCTTGCAGGTTCCAATTCCACAGCAGGACCGGTTGCTACATGAGCTGCTAGCTCTGAGCTGCTCCTCTGATTGCCCCTTCACTGCCACAGCTGCTGCTAAGTGCTTTGCAGGACTAGTTAACAAGCACCCAGCAGGTAATAGCTGGATCAGAGTGTTTTTAAAGTCCTAACAGGCAGTCCTCTGATGCTAATGAAACCCCAGGGCTGACTTTGGATGTAATTGGGAGTTAGAGGAACAACAGTCAGTGATTCTTCCTCTTCCCTTATCAGGACCTCAGCTAGATCAACTCTTGGAAATGGCCATGAACAAGCTGGAGCAAGGTCTGAATGAGGGTCCTCATCAAAGCCAGACCCTCACTCTGCTGCTGTGGGTACGTTTGTACCATTTTGTCCCACCTTTTCTCCTAATAATTCAGAGCTAAATGTACCTTTTTCCCTCTGCAGATAACTAAGGCTTTGTTGCTACGCTACCATCCTCTAACCACACAACTGACTGACAAGGTGAGCTTCAGAGAACAGTTGGAATCTTTAGAAAGACCAATATATTGCTCTCATAGTGTACTTAATAACTTCTCTCCTTCTATTCTACAGCTGCTCATGCTTCTGGAGAACCCTGTCCTTGGCCCTACTGTCAGTGATGGCTTTGCCTTGCTCATGGGTGACTCCCCAGATGTGCTGGGCAAGAGCTGCCATGCTGAAGTGCGCCTCATGTTCCGACAGCGCTTCTTCACTGACTGTGTACCACAGTTAGTGCACGGATTCCACACAGCTGCCCCTGGTGAGAATCTCTGTAGTCCCATTTGTTATAAAACATATATAAATTATCAAAGAGAATCTATTCAACATAATGTTTTAAATTACCTAACTTGTGTGATTACTACAGAAGTGTAATATTTCTTGTCTTCCATATTTGTGGATTCTTGCATGATAATATTATAGACCTATTTTTTACATTCCTTTTTGGGCTGATGCTTTTGATTCTTCTAGTTAGAGGACAGAGGAGCAGCTTCATCTTAATGTCCTTTACTGCTTCCTCTCTTCCTCTTGCCAAGTGGTTTGAACTTCTCAGTTTCTGAAACCGCCTGAGAACAGGATAAATTACACCTGTAAACTGGCTAATGCTGTAGTTACTCTGCCTTTAGCAATAAGATAAAATGGCTTTTGTTTACTGATAACAGCTGGTTTCCACGGAAGTCTCTGTAGTGGTCAGTTGCTATTCAGGTTCTAAGCCTGCAGAAGTCTTTCTAGAAAAATCTCATCTGGGCTACAGCACTTAGCAGCTGCCTTTCTCTTCTCCCTAGGTGTGAAAGCAAATTATCTGAAAGCCCTGTCCCACATACTGAACCATCTACCTAAGCCGGTATTAGTGACAGAGATGCCTACAGTGAGTTTGAAATTACAGCTGAGCCCTCTAATAGAAATAGTAGAATTATTAATAGACTGATCTTCACCCTCTTTTTCCCTTTCCTGTCTTCATAGTTGCTACCACTGTTGCTGGAAGCTCTGTCATGTCCTGACCATGTGGTCCAGCGGTCAACTTTGCATTGTCTGCAGCCATTGTTACTTGAAGCACCTCATGTTATGAGCCTGCATATTGACACACTTGTGGGCAAGTTTCTTAACCTGACAGACAACCCTGCTATGGTCAGTGCTGGTTATTCCCTATCCACCTGTGTCCTTCTGCTGCAATATTTGAAACCCACATGCATCATGCCATTCTTATGTTACAGGCAATCCGTATTGCTGCTCTTCAGTGCCTCCATGCACTTGCTGCCCTACCCACCCCAGTGGTAAGTGCTGGATCTCTCTATGGGTGATAACCTGGGCAGCTTATTCTTAATGTGCCACTATCTGCTTCTCTGTTCTTGCCAGATGAGTTCAGACAAAAGGGAAGTTGTGGAGACATCTTTAATGGTACTTTCTTTCTTCTATTAGGTCATCCCTTACAAGGCAAGGGTAATTAAGGCACTTGCCAAACCCTTGGATGACAAGAAGCGGTTGGTTCGGAAAGAAGCCGTGTTGGCCCGAGGAGAGTGGTGAGAAGGGTTGGGTTTACTTTAGCAACCATGTAGAAAAATGCATATATGTACCCTGCTTGAAGTAGGTGCTTAATTAATTAATTCTCTGGATGCTTACTGTTTATAAAGTATATTGGAAATGGTAGAATAAGCATTTGAACACATAATCTGTCCATCCTTTCCCTCCTAATGTCTAATCCTAGTGCTGTATTTCTTTTTCTTCAGGTTTCTGCTTGGCACCCCTGGCAGGTGAAGGTTCACCCTGTATATCCTGATTGACAATCTCTCTTGTCCCTGCCAAGCCATCAGCCTTGATGTCATGGGATCTGCATTTCCTTGCAAAGCAGCAAGGTTCTGAGCAGATGTGGAGGACATTTTTAATGGACTGCCTTTTCTGTGTACTGGTAGAGTCCTGATCACAACATCTGTGTCCAATGGAATGAAACAGCCATCTCAATTCCAGCTGCATTGGAGTTGTGCATAAAGGTGGCAGGACCCCTGCACGCTACGTGTGTGGCACCAGAAGAATAAACAACATGTTTCTTAAAAGCCTCTGGAGAAGGGTCCTCTTGTGGGAAGAAAAGTAGAAGCAGTGAGCTGCTGCTAGCCTTCCCTTCACCATTTATTTGTGTATCACTATCCCACATCTTAACATTAACATCTTAGCATATCTGTAAAATCAGTTACCCTGTGATTCTGACCTAAACTTACTTGATAGTTCATCCAGTCCTTTGTTTTTCAAAAGGTACACACAGTGAATGAAAGCAGTAAGTGAAATGAGGTATATGATAATTTTTAAACAACTTTAAAATGTTCAGGGAATTCAGAGTATGTAGCAAGAGCTAGAAAACTCTTGCCACATACTCAGTGAGTCCTTTATATCCCAGGCTTTGAGTAGGGGCTTAATTTTTTTTAAAGAACATACCCTTTTGCCATAGTGACAAGTAATTACATCAGCATCTGGGGTTTTGTCTCTACTAGTCTGGATAATAATTGCTTTCTGTCAAGAAAAATATCTAGCTGTCATAATAGTTTGGAGTTCAGAAATCTACTGAGGCTTGTGTGAGACATTCCCTCTTTAATCCATATTTTTAAGGGGTTAACTTCATAATGCTCTTCAGTTTATCACTACTTTCAGCCATGGCATAAGATGCTACTACAGACATATAAGGCTATAGGGTCCCCTGATTTATCCATTGTCATTTGCCTTTAAAGATAACCGACCGATGAAGTCAGTTGCATTGCATTTTTTGCTAGAAGAACCAGCCTGAATGGTAGTAAGAACAGGATAGAAATAGTGTAGTGGTTGTGGAAGTTACTGCCTTTCAGCCACAGAATTCATGCTTTGTCCCAAGAAGATTTTAGGCTCCCCAGTACATCTGCCTCTTTCAAGAATGCAGGAAAGACGTCTGGGAAAGACAGCTGTGGTGGAATGAACACAATCCTACTCTCAAATACTTAGTAATAATAAACTTTACAAACTCTTTATACACAAAGATTAATTTGTAATAAATGCTGGGGAGGCTGGGAAGAAGACTTAACCCCTACTGTGTGAGTTGCAAAGGAAGTGAAAAATCCTACACAGCCTGATGGATAGCTCTGTGGTTTAGGTATCTGCGGAGCTTGAGTTTGGGGGGGGGGGTTCTTGATTCCCCACTGTACCTCCTTAACATGGGCTGTACTCAGTGACCCATAGGGTCCCCTTCCAGCCAGGTAGTTTATTATTACTCTTAGAGCCACTTGCTACCACCGCATTTTAGATATGCAAACACCAATTCAGATACTCAAAACATCAATATTATTATAGAGCAATATCCCCATAACCCTACTATACTACCACTGACGGCTTATGAATTGTACAAGCAATGAGGGATAGGAAAAAGGCTGTAGTGAAAATACAGCAAAGAGCTAATGTCAATTTTCCCCATCCACTGTTGGAAAGACCTATGGAAGGCTGCAAGAAGTATAACCAGGAGTCACTACACATTGGGTGCAGTCCTGTTGTGCAACTTTATAAAGCTGCTATTCTCAACCACATCAATTTTCCGGAAATTAAAATTTCTTATCCCTGCTGCCAAAGGTCCTGGGGATCCATTTGGGGGCTGCAAGTTTCAGAAATTAAAGATTGTCCTGCCCCATAGTTTCCACAGGACAAAATCATCCCAAAGAAGTCTTGAAACCTGTAAGAGTTGGAAATTTTTAGGTTTTTTTAAAAATGGCTAATGACATAATGAGCCTTCTGTAGCATAAAGGTGCATTACAGGATTTGAACTAGAAAGTGAAAATATATTTGGAAGCAGCTGACGGTTGGAGCAATCAGTGCAGGTATTGCTACTATTATCTCTGCAAAGTTATCTATCCTACCATCTGGACCTATTATTATGTATCCATTGAAAAAGTTTTGCAAAAACCAGTCACTCTGAAAATGGTTTGTCTTAGACATCACCTCCACTCTCCTTTCTCCCCTTTAAAGAGGAAACAATGTCGCATATTAAAAATGGTTTTATTTGCAAAGTTTTTTTTAAAAAATCCTGTCTACACAAGAGGGAGAACAGCAGGACTCTGGCATGCCAACCAGACTCCAGGAATTAAGGGACAAAAGAGAACTTGCCTCCCTTTCCACCCATGTTCAGGAGAAACAATACGTTGCCCTACATGGCTGGATTATGTGCAAACACAAAACAGACATAGGCAAGACATTTCTGTCTCACCTCAGCTGCCTGCAGCTGGAGGTTCCTTAGCCTTTCTCCTAAGGCTGCTGGAGCAATCTGCTCAGTTCAGATGATTCAACTCTACTGCATTAGGCCACCTCCTCCTCAGGGAATGAACTTCCTGTTTGTTTCCCAAAGAAAGCACCCTGTGGCCAAGTCTTGTACCAGCTGGTGCACTCTGCTTCTCATCCAACTCAGATTGCTAGTAGAGGAATCTTCTGTTCAGCAACACAGAATGGAGTGTCCCAGTTCAGACCATTACCATAGGGTGGGTGGGCAGAAGGCAGCAGAACTCGGGTAAGCCAGTGCCTAGAAAAGAGATCAGGGTCTTCAATAGCCTTGATACGATATAAAAAGACTTCCTTACATAATGCTCCTTAGTAGTTTCCAGATTATAAAGAACCTTGAGAGCTACATCATTACTGTGGAATCTAATCAAACAGAGCTATATTAATTGCACCTTGCTCAGTCAAACTCCAGTTATCCATGGCACAGGATGTACACAGAATATTACTAACAAATTTCCATTCCTTACCTTTGAGTCTCCACACCCAGGAAAACCTTCCAGTTGCCCAAAGGACCATAGCTGTATGGATTTCGAAACATCTATCGCCAAAGGAAAAATAGCATGAAATTTTATACTCCAAATTATACTAGAACAAGTACTCTTGCCCTCTATAGCGGTCCCTGCTGGGAGACCACAGAAGTGCAAGGCAAACAGCAGAGCTATAGTGGTTCCTTGACTTATGAACTTAATCCGTATTGGAATGGTGTTCGCAAATCGAAAAGTTCATAGGTCGAGGCACCGTTTCCCAAAGGAATGCATTGAAAACTGATTAATGTGTTCCAGGGGAAGAAAAAAATACAAAAAAAAAACAACCCAAAAAAACACTGCAAGTCCCACACTGGGACTGCAAAAAAAATCACCGAAAAACAAAAGAACACAGCACAGAAACATAATCCCCCCAGCCCAAACCCACCCTGTAAAAGCCACCCAGAACAGTTTTAAAAAAGAAAAAAGCAGCACTTATCAGTCAAAGCTTCCTGGGGGTCCCCCACTGCTGTGATTGCTGCTGCTGTGACCAATGCCACTGTAAGGCTTGAGCCTGGCCGGGGTGCTTTGGCCGCTGGCCTCCCGGCCACGACGGAGGCAGTGGTGGCCCAGCGTCAGGAGGAGAGCAGCCAAAGCATCAGCAGTGGTGGAAGCCCAGGAGGCTTCGGAGGCTTTGGACCGGTAAGGTGCTGCTTTTTTAAAAAGTCTTTGTTTTCTTGGTGGGGGGAGTTGAGGGTTGGTGTTCTTTTGTTTTCGGTTTATTTTTATTTTGGTATTTTTTTGAAATGATGGAACAGATGAATCCCGCTCCCATGCATTTCAATGGGAAACGCTGATTTGACTTACGAACGTTTTGACTTACGAAAAGCAGCCTCTTCACCACCAGCAGTTTGAATGGAACGAAAAAAAAGGCAGGGGAAATTTGAATTTCCCGCCCTTTTCCCCTGCCTTTTTTTCATTCGTAGGTTGAGGCTCCGTTCGCAAGTCGATACAAATTTTTGCGAACGGAGCCGTTCATAAGTCAAAATGTTCGTAGGTGCGTTCATAAGTTGAGGTTTGACTGTATAACATTGTCCCAACTCCAATTTATTTGGAAACGCTATGTCTCATCTGTTCAGGCTAAGCTTGTTTGCAATATGCTAAAATAATCCAAACAAAATAGCATTAAAGTAGAAACAATTACAACAAACAACACAGCACATTCAAAAAAAGTACCTAAATAAGAATGGCTTGTGTTTGCCCAAAATCAGGAGAATCAAATCTCAGGACAAAGTTATTGCCCCAAGATGGGACAGCAGTGGAAAAGCTGTTTCAGACATCCTGCCTCTGCAAACTGAACTAAAAGGACCTTAGCAAGGCCTCTCAAGGAAAAGAGGGGCTTTTGCGGCTCTCCTCTCACTGACGGTTCAGCTTCTCTCATTTCTCACCTTGTTCTTCCTTCTTTCTTTGCGGTTGATGTGTCTTTCAATGCTGGTCTCACCACGTGTGATGAGGACAGAATGCCAGAGCATAAGGGCACCTAGCGCCAAGGCAACAGAACTGGGGAAGGAAGGAAGCTATGTCAATTTAAAGGAGCTGAAACAACCAAAACGAATCACTTGTAAAGACACTGAAAACAATTTGTTACAAGGTGAGCTAGACGAGGCTCTCGGCCATTCACTTTTGCAGAGCATGAGACGGATGGAAAGCTCCGAGAAAGAAGGTTGACTTGGAAATCTAGAGTGCCTTTCTCTTCCTCCCTCCCCCTGAGCACTGTTCAGTCAACAAATAAACAGATCAGTTACCTGCAAAGGACCCAGGCATACACTATACTCTTGTGGAAAGCTCGCTGGCGGAAGGAGAAGGTGGGTGGTGGTGTTTGAGAGTAAGTCTGCAAAGAAAAGCAAATGTTGCCAGGGTCAGGTGCCAGAAAGCAACAGAAGTAGCTATGGCCAAAAAGGGGAAGATGTGGAGGGCTTTCAAGGACAAATGAAAGGATGGAGAGCACAGTAGACAAGACAGATACTTTCTAAAAGATAAGGAGCTCAATGATCATGAATCAGAGGTGGGCAGAGCATGGGCTTGGAGGCTCAGAGTTCACTTCCCTTACTCCCCATACATCCTTTGTCTTCCAAAATGAGATGTGATATACCATATTATTCCGTGTATAAGATGCCCCCATGTATAAGACACGCCCCACACTTTTCTAATCCAAAACTAGGAAATCTAAGGGGCTTAGCAAGTGCAGGGGGAAAGGGATTAAAGTGCTGCAGGATCGCTTTGATCCCTGCTTTCCCCTCCACTTGTTTTTGTTCTCAGCTTACTTCCAGGTATAAGACAACCCTCAATTTTTAGTCTAAAGATTTTAGACAAAAGTATAGTCTTATACAGGGAAAAATATGGTACTTAACTCTTCAGATATGTCCTACCCTTTATACAGCAATAGTCATATGCCAAATCAAAAGGGGCTCTGGGATTCCCTTGTGGGGAGGAAGGAAAGGAGCATTTCTGTCCATAAAAAGGAATCTGAGCTGTTACAATCACAGCTGTAGATTCATTCCTGAGACAAAGAAGTGGGCTCTCACTCAATGCTCTGTCCTGTCCCTGACATGAGCAGCTGAGGAGCAGGTACCCCACCTGATTGGCTGTCACGTGCAGTCTCTCCTTGTCAAGAAGTTTCATTTTCTATCGGATGGAAAAGAGGGTGCCCGTTATATATACTCAGCTCCTGGCTCAGACACCCCTCTCTTGCATGGGGCAGCACCTCATGCAGGTCTCCAGGCCAGAAGGAGAGAGCCCTTCTCCTTTCCCCAAAGAAAGACCCTAGCCCGCATGCGACCCAAAGGCCATATAACTCAACCACACATCTCACCTCAATGGCAGCGTAGGCTTCCCAGAACATATCCCAGCCACTGACACTGCTGTAGATGCAGCCCATGGTCATGAACAACATGAAGGAGAAGAAGTAGCGATGGTTGTAGTGTCCCACACAGTTGTTCAGCCATGCTATCTCTTGGGGTTAAAGGTTTGTAACCAGAGGCAGTAAGGCAATCCTCCTCTGATGGTGAAATAGGAGGACCAATTCTGTAGCTGTGCTCCCTGGTAGGACTGAATAACTGCTTTCTCCAATGATCACCTCTGCTGGATTTCTAACATGTAGCACCCTTTCTAGCTTTGAGGACAGGAAGATTTTACTTATAATATACACTTTACAGCCTAAACCCAGCAGGCAAGGAATGCACACAGAGTAGTGGTGCTTCCTATGCAAGGAGGAACAGCACCACAGGTTGTCCCAGCACAATTTCCCTTTCAGAATGAACAGGGTTGCCCCTTTGGTACAGCTGATTATCTTAGCAACGTTGCTCTAGCTACATGCTTCCTAAGAGAGCTATACAAATGCTTCCCCCTCTTTGCTGTTGCACGCAACCCTTCTGAGCCAGCTGGTGTGAAGAGGCCCACACTAACCCTGGGGATACATCAAAACACTTGGGTTCCTGGAATAAGCGGCCCTTTATCAACAACACTATGAGCTTGAGGAAGGATACGGCAATGATGATCCATCTTCAACACACACCTGCGGGAAGGAGGGAGATAACATCAGCCTAGGGAATTATACAATAGAGACTAGACAGGTGAACTGCTGATAGCACAGCACAGTTAAACAACACTAAGGAATGGGACAGTCACAAAGTGTGTCAAGGTACAGCAATACAAGGCAAAAGTGTACATGCAAGCAAGAGTTTTGCTAGAGGCTGTTTGGGTATTGCCAGGTAGTGGCTTCTCACTGACGTGAATACAGGCCTTCTCTCTATTCTATATCCTATTATTCCTTGGAATGTGACTTTAGCTCATGTGAGGAGGATTCCATGGAAATTTGCAGGGATACCTAAAAGTAGGGCTCCAAATAGAAAGGCATTACAAATATGGAGAACTTGTACGGCAAGAATCCTGTGGTACCAAAAGAAGATCTTATAGAGAAGATACGGAAAACAGCTGAAATGGACATTTTATCAGAAATGACGAAGGACTGTCCGCCTCAAAAGGCAACTGAAAGATGGGACTTATTCTACAAATGATTTGAGTCATTAGACATCGCTTCAAGAACATGCATTAAAATGAGAACTTAAATCTGGAAGGCAGAAAATAGTAAAAAGAGTAATTTGGAATTTTGATATGGCAATATGTATAGAATGGATGTTAGTATGTCATTGTTTCTCCTCTTCTCCTTAACCTCAGTCCCCTTTTCCTTCCTGTTACCCTTTGTTAAAAATAAAATATTTTTTTTTAAACATAACTTTCTTAAAAAATAATAATAGGAGTCACAGAAGCACAAAAGATAATTAATTCTTGGAGGTGCCAGAAAAGCCCACCTGTTGCAGATGCTGCAGTGGTGGGTCCGGGCAGGCTTCGGGGCAATGCATTTCCTGCAGATGGAGACAGCAGCAACATCGCTCTTTGACTGCTGCAGAAAGGGAACATCACACTGGACTGAGAACACTGTCACTCAGGCCGCTCTTGAGCCTCAGCACAACAACAACTCCAGGCTAGCCGTTTAGTCCATGACCATTTGTGTTAAGTGTTATCAATGAGAAAAGCAAGGGTAGGAAATAGAGATGGGAGTATTCATATTCATTTACATACAAATACCACCACACAGGTGGTGATAATGAGGGTCCCATGGGGCCAGAAGGTCCACTCACTGATGCGTTAATACCGCATCTGCGCTGCTGTCCCATGCTCCGGAGATGGCGATCACCGAGCCACTATTCGACGTGGCAGAGGTTAATACCGCAGAGTCTGCACTGCTGTCCCATGCTCCGTAGATGGCAATCACCGAGCCACTATTCGACGTGGCAGAGAGGCTTGTCATCCCGCCTCCTGCCAGGAGTGCCTCGGCAATCACGATCCCCAAAGCAATAGGACGGCAGTGCGGACCCCACGGCATTAGTGCATCAGTGAATGGGCCATCTGACCCATGGGGCCAGACCCTCATTATCTCCACCTGTGCAGGGGCATTCGTACACCCCCATCTCTAGTAGGAAATCATGCTAAGCAGCCCTGCTTTGAATCCCCAGGTTAATCAAAAGCAAAAGAATGGCTAAGCAGAAATAATGAGGCCTCTGTCCTACCTGTGGGGGATAACCAGGCTGAGTAGTGATGGCCATATAATAGTGGAAGACAATCATAAGGAGATTCCAGTGGCCATAGATAAAGTGCCAAAAGATCCAACCAATGGGATAAGTGCGAAGGATGAGTGGCAGGAGGCAGACGTACACTATGCACACCACTGAGCTGGTTAGTGTGATCACAAGAGCCACAAAAACCTGTCAGAGGGAAGAAGAAAGGATCTGAGCCACAGGCACATTGCAAACAAGTCCCACACCTATGATAGAAGAAAGGGTGCATGGGGAATCAATCCCCTCATTAAATCTCATTTGATTCTCTTGGGAACACTGGGCGACTGCAGCCCTCTCAAACTCCCAAAGGATTCTGCGAAGCACCTATGCCATCTCCTCCCACATCTGCAACATCATATATACGTATACATCAGGGACTTTTGGGTAGTGTGGGTGGCATATAATTTAAATAAATGAGCAATTTAGAGCAGCTTCCTCACTTGTCTTTAAGCCCAAGGCTGGAACTCTAGGGGCTGAAATTGAAATTTCCTCCATCAGAGGGCAAACTCTACCGTTAGACAGGCAGAGTGAATCAGCTACCTCAGACTAATTTAAGTCCTTTTAAGTCAATTCCATCTTCTAGTGATCCTTACCTGGGTTTTCTAAGTATATAGTATTCAGAAGTACAGTTTACCAGTCCCTTCCTTTGGTCGTATTCTAAGACCATTTAAGCTTACCCAAGACCACATAGGTTAGTTCTCCCAGGAGGTACACTGGGGAACTGAATTCCCAACCTCGGGCTCTGCAACCAGGTACTCCAACTCATCCTGCTCTCTGTCTTAGGCAGCAAAATGGCTCAGGTTAATTTGCTCTAGCAAGCCTCATATTCCAGCATAGCCCTTTTGACACATGGAAGCAACAGCAAAAACAGCACAAAGGAAGATTAACTATCAAGATGCTCATTAAAGACTATGGGCTGCATGGGTGGGCTTCCTGTAGGGGGGTGAAATATCATAAATGAGACATTATTCTCTAGATACTCACCACCCCAAACCACCGGGTGACGTGATCCACCAGCCAGTATATGGGCTCAAAAAGGGCATCAAGAGCAGTGTCACCATCAGCAAAGGAGTTGTAGATTAGAGATCGCAAACAGAGACGCCCGTACCACCACTGCTGCCGCACGTGCCGAGTCAGCCAGAACCGGCGCCGCTGACCTACCCGCAGGCACCTTAGGAAGAGGCGCATGACAGCGGAGTACATCAGCCGGCGGCTCCTCATCCTTGCCACTCAGAGCCTGAAGAGAGATGATGCAGGGTCAGGAAGTCCTGGGGGTGAGGGCTAATGCCCAAGCAAAGGCTCAACTGAAGACACTCAATGGTACTGTGGCAAACCTGCTGTTTCACCATCATGATACTAAGGGATGTAATACAGTATGGGGGTAGTACAGTCACTGCTGATCTTTGGATAGTACTAAGGATGGGGAGCTCCTATTTCCTTCCCAATAGTTCTACTGCAATACAAATGAGGGGTTGTGCTTGCCTCTTACTTTCAGGATGGACTAAGAGCTATAGTAGCTTCCTGTGGCTTTGCCAAGAACCCCACTACTCTGGAAGGGATGAAAAACACCCTGGGTAATGACAGAGTAAGGGGCTACAGTAGCTTCCTGTGGCTTTGCTAAGAACCCCACTTACTACTCTGGAAGGGATGAAAAACACCCTGTGTGAGCATACACACACAATGAATTCAAGGGGCAGGAGGATTCCTAGACCTCTGCAATTATTAGAAGTGCCAAAGAAGCACATTTCTGGAAATCATGTTCTATTTTCCTTCCAAACAAATGGAGAAAACTAAAGATATTGTGAGTAGCAGAGGCAGAGACACGGTTCTTCCCAATATTTATTCAGACCAACTTGCTTCAGAATGTTGGAAGGCAAAGGAAATAGCAAGGACTACAGCTTAACACTCCTTAAAGCACAAATAACTCTTTATACCACATAATTCAGTGTCCATTGTTCAGCACTCAAGCAAACACTGTCTTTCTGACTAGGGATGATGGGAGTTGCAGTTCAACTCACCTGGAAAATGCCAGATTGGGGAAAGCCGCTTTATGAATCATGAACACCTACAAAGTTTAGAGGATGATCATATAGTGTGTGAGAGAACTAAATCTTCAATCCCATTCTTCATGCTTAGTATTTTCATCTCTACAGAGTAACTGTGAGTTTGGACAGAACTAGTTGGTGGGAGTGGGGCAAGACATTAATCCTTTTTTCATCTCTACAGAGTAACTGAGTTTGGACAGAACTAGTTGGTGGGAGTGGGGCAAGACATTAATCCTTCGAAACCTAAAAGTTCAAACTATAAAATAACAAGGGTACTTACCTGCTTGAAGAAGTCCAGCATCAAGCTGCAGCTATTCTAAAAGCAAGGAGGAACCTGATCTTGGCTAACTCTAGGAAGAAAGCTGATCTTGGCCAATTAATATTAACCAAGAGTTTGACCCTAGGAACCCCTTATGGCTGGTGACCTAGAGTAAACAGCAGCCTAGCAAGAAGAACATGAAGCAGAAACTGTACTAAAGGAGGCAAGGAGGCATGGCACTCTACTATGAGGTATAAAATTAAATTTTAGACAGTGCTAAATTAGGCTGAGTTACCCCTAAATTACCTCTTCATGGATTGCTGCCTTGTCATGGTGAAGGGGCTTGAGTAATTCAGAGAAGCTATGGGCTATGCCATGCAGGGACACCCAAAACAGACAGGTCATAGTGGAGAGTTCTGACTAAACGCAATCCACCGGGAGGAGAAACTGGCAAGCCACTACAGTATCTTTGCCAAGAAAATTCCATGGACAGAAACAAAAGGCTAAAAGATATAACACTGGAAGATGAGCCCTTCAGGTCGGAAGGCATCCAAAGTCCGATGCTGCTAAGGAAGAGCGGAGGGGAAGTACAAGTAGTTTCAGAGCTAATGAACTGGTTGGGACAAAGCTGAAAGGACACTGAGCTGCGGACGTGCGTGGAAGTGAAAGGAAAGTCCGATGCTGCAAAGAAAAATACTACATAGGAACCTGGAATGTAAGATGTATGAACCTTGGAAAGCTGGATGTGGTCAAACAGGAGATAGCAAGAATAAACATTGACATCTTGGGCATCAGTGAACTAAAATGGATGGGAACGGGCAAATTCATTTCAGACGATTAACATATCTACTATTGGGGGCAAGAATCCCATAGAAGAAATGGAGTGGCCCTCATAGTCAACAAAAGAATAGGAAAAAACTGTACTGGGATACAATCTCAACAATGTTAGAATAATTTCAGTATGAATCCAAGGCAGATCAGTGAACTAAAATGGATCGGAATGGGCAAATTCATTTCAGACGATTAACATATCTACTATTGGGGGCAAGAATCCCATAGAAGAAATGGAGTGGCCCTCATAGTCAACAAAAGAATAGGAAAAGCTGTACTGGGATACAATCTCAACAATGATAGAATAATTTCAATATGAATCCAAGGCAGACCTTTCAACATCACAATAATCCAAGTTTATGCACCAACCACTCATGCTTAAGAGGCTGAAATTGACCAGTTCTATGAAGACTTACAACACCCTCTAGAACTGACACCAAAGAAAGATGTTCTCATAAGGGGGTTGGAATTCTAAAGTAGGGAGTCAAGAGATAAAGGAACAACAGGTACATTTGGCCTTGGAGTTCAAAAGAAAGCAGGGCAAAGGCTAATAGAGTTTTGTCAAGAGAA